GAGATTTTTGATAAATTAACTCCCAACCAATCAAATAGCTAGAAATTCACTTGAGGTGTAACAAATCAAATTGACAAACGCGGATACAAATAGAAATAACTCAATTTGTTAAACATCGAACTGCTTACAAAATTAAATACACCAATGACGGTATTGTTTGTGGGGTAATATGACCATTTATATCATAATCGTTAATATTACATGCAGCAAAATATAAGGTAAACAAGTTAATGCATGTCACCTCGATGTAAAAGAGAAACTTTCAAAAGTACCAAACAGATTCCAATTGATACATAATCAGGAAATTAAGAGATTTGAGGGATCTTAATGCTCACATGATTCCATTACCCTTTACACTACTGGAGCATGTGTGCCAAGTTTAAAGTCAATCGCTGCAGCTATTCAGAGAAAATAATCAAAGGATAGTGCTTCTAAATCTATTTCTTTCGTCAACACGAAAGGTGAGAAAACTTAGTCGGGAACCTGTGCAGCTTTTTTGGAGTCAATCGCTGAAGACAATCTTGAAAAGTGGAAAGTATCACAGCCAATCAGATGTCATATCTGCCGTACTGGATTTTGGATATGCACGAAAAATAACATCATGTAGATCCATAAATATGTGTTAATGAATATTTGTAACAAGTTTGAACACACTTGCTTCTCCAATCGTAAACGACGACTAAGACGATAACAATAGATCACATGATCAATCAGTTGAACTAATCAACATTTAACAAAAACATCTTATTTGATGAACAACGTAGCTTTCTCGGAAGTGGGTTTACTTGCGAATATAACCATAACAAACTATGGAAGATGAGAATAGAAATCTAGCCATTCCATAGAGAAAATATACAACAGCGTCAGCACAACATAGACAAGATAAGTTATTGCGTCTCTTTCATCAAATGTTAAGTAACCAAATAAAAAAAATAAAAAATCTAATCATTTTACGTCGTGCATTTAATTTCGGCAGACCACTTCTTCGCCATTTTATGTGATATGGAAAAACAGCACTGCCAATATGTGTTAATGGAAAATAAAGCAAACCTATGTAACTTCCCTCTAAAAGGACAAATTGATACCATCTGCTGTGAGAGTAACATATTTGCTCAAACGCTGCAGGTGGACAAATATCATCGATATTGCAAATACATTATGTCCGTAATGTCGACACGTGTCGCAAACTACAATAAGTATTGCTAAAAGTCCAGCCATTGTCTAGGGGCCATTACAGATACATTGTATGAATGGAGATCATTCAAACAATCTCCGTTAACCCTCTTGTTTGTCAAACTAATTTTTTATCAAATGGTACACCCTTTGTGATGAAGGTTCAAGCTTGCAAATTTGGAAAGAATAAACGTAGCCGTCAATTTTTACCGCACCAATCAAATCATTCAGTCTTTTTTTCATGTAACGTGGAAAGCGGCTATTCCATTCGATTTGCTTACCGATCACCCGAAAGCCCTCAACATCAACGTTGTGAATAAATAAACATCCTCGAAAGCTCATGGCCCAGCTCATAATAAACGGATCAAAAACAAAGGAATCGTGCTGCAGCGTAACGGTAAACAGAACGGCTTTAAAGTTAGGTGAGGCTCCTCTATAATTTAAACCCGCCCCCGACACCAATCAAACAGCGTCCGGCCTTTGGTTTTGTCGTGACATATTCCAGATATGCAGAGAAGATCTATTGATCGAAAACAGAACCCTTGGATTTCGAGCAGAATCAACTTACGACTGAATGTGAGCTACTACATGTACATTGTATATTTTGTATCGACGCGTATTTTTATATGTATGTTAACAACTAGGAGCCTGTAGAGAAGGTTCGTGTCTGTAAGAGTTCCTCTGTTTTCGTTCTAAAACATTTTTGGCTTTTCATTGCTTTGCAGCTTCAAAATATATATTCTTTTATTCTATTTTTTGTAATAAAATATGTTTCTTGCAAATGAAACAACGCAGATAATACGAATGCCCATGTTAATGGGTTTAAGAACACCAATGTTAATATTATTGCTTTATTATTGTTTTCCACGTCAGTTTCTTTATATATAAGATATATAACCACTTTGGATAAAACATGTTCGAATTGGTCACACTTTCTTTAAAATACGTTTACTTTCGCTCAACTCTTTGTTATTCGACAAATTTATTTTTATAACTACAACCTACCTGCGAAAATCTTATCGCATAAAGACGAACTACTTCTTTTTCTTTTTTGTTCACGCCAGTACGTGTAGCACAATTCTACTCCTTTTTACACCACGTTATAGTAAAAGAAAAGGGTTGTACGCACACCTCTTTGTAATGGGTTAGATTATAATTTGTTGAACTGAACATCTCCTTAATCACTGACGGAAGTTGGTGCTGCGTTCAACTTTTTGGTGAGGTCGGCTAGGTTTGCTACCAATTGGTAGTACATTTTGTACCTGTCCTAACGAGTAGCTTGTTTGTTTCAAGGCACATACCACTTTCACTTTTTAAAGGTTTGCGAATAATCACGTCATATGACTCATACAGAGTAGTTGTTTATTTATTGGTTAACATTACAGTTTCTTCAAATTATAATTAGGTTTTATATACGAACATATATGATCCTCCATTCAAAGGTATAATTTGATTTGGTATTGACACTTAACATGATATAGTTCAAGCGTACTAAAACGTATAAATTGCAGAGATGAAATCCGAAAGTATTCTTTTAATGTAACGAAAGATGAAACCGATGTTCAAATGTAGTTTTTTTAACCTAATACTTAACAGTAGAAGGGAGGTTATTCACAGCCCGCTACAATTCAACATGACAGTGGAGGTTTGTTTTCGTTTTGTTCTAATTATATTGAACATCGACTTGATTCTTAGAAGGGGGGGAGGGAATGAATTCCTGCTTTTTTATTGCTTTAACATTCTTAGTATAAGGGAGGTAAATCTTGCTTTCACTTCTCTGGTTTACCGTTTGCCTCGGCATGAAGTGCTAATCTCACATTGTTATATATTCAGATGTAAACACAGATCAACAAAATGAATCGAAAATATTAGTAACAGGTTGAATGTTTCCCAGTCCCAATATAAAAAAATATTTTATATTGAGTATTAGAGGATGTCCCTTTATTTGCACGTTTATGTCTCGTGTTATATGCCGATGAGGACTAATTCATAATCTTGACTGCGAGCTAGTGGGAATTAAGAAACATCTCTACAATGTAACATGTGCCGCACTTTTTTCTAGTGTTTTCAAATGTTCAATGTTGCTTGTGTTTTTGTGAATATATGCTGTTAACTCTGTCTCACACTTTCATAAACAATAATCATTCTAATACAACTACATTACCTCAAGCTGACAACATTGGCATAGGAACACTGTAATATCTATGTGTATTTGAGGGTGAAGGGATCGGCAAAAAGATAAATATATAAATTAAAACCACTTAGGAACATCTTCCCAAGTCTGCAAACTAATCCAATGGTGACAATTTGCTACATATGTGCAATGCAGAAACATTGTTATCAAGTACATGGAACCTGGTTTTAATAGTGGTCAATGGGCTGAACTCTACAAGAAAATGCTTTTTCTCAGCGGTTTGCACCAGAACCACCTCTCAGTAAATATTACCTTATCTGGGTACTAGATGCTGTTGTGTTCAATATACTTGAAAAACGTCAATATAATGCCAGTTGTTTCTTTAGTCATATGACACCATAGTATTTCAACATAGATAATATTCCTACAACGAATAGTGTTAAATGTGTCTAATTTGTTTAAAAACTGGGGTCAGTATCACATTTTTCTGTATACTGTGCATCTGCATATTATACTTGCCATGACAAACTTAACTAAAAATTAACTAAAATTATTTACAATCAACCCAGTTTGCCATAGAGCTGGCGCAGTATGTTGAATTAATTTAAAAGTCTGATATACTGTATGGATGGAGAGAAAAAAAGAGAAAATCCCTCCAAAAGAAGGAGGTCTGGTAAGTATGAAAAATGTCTATACACAAAATATACAACACAAAATTGATAGGTTATTGTATGTGTTTAATAAATGTAAAGATAAAGATGATCACCCAACATTTGTATACTTTCCTCAAAAAATATTATTCTAAATGATGAATTGTATATATACATGCACATATAATAATTTGGATGTAATATAAGTATTTCTTTCTAATTTTGTAAAAATTGATGAAGAAAGCAGTTTCATTTTAACATAATATGGTACAAAAATGTAGATTCTAGCAAAAATAAAAGTAGACATGCAAGTCACGTTTTGTTTTCTTTGTCATCAAACATAGTCCCTAAAAGTTTTTTCTGGTCATCTCCAGCACGAAAAAGTCTCATCATTAGAGAGGGCTTGCCAGGGGAGGGAACCACTTCTAAGTCTGTTGTAATGCCACTATGTTGCCCACGTGCTGTATCAAAAGAAATTTACACAAACGATAATATAATAAATCACAAATAAGAATAACCACCATCTTGTTCTATGAATATACGTGGGTTAAGTAATGGCTGTAATCAGGATGCAACGATGATATAATAATTCATCCTTCTGTTTCTTTAACTGAAATGTTTACACACATTTCTGTTCTTTATGGATCAAATTACATAAAACCAATCGGTAACAAATACTGTCGTAATATGGGGAAGAAAGTCTCTTCGTTATTTGACAACAATATATGTAGAAAATAAGTTTTATTTACATGCACAGTCACTAATATCATAAGCTAGTATTTCTTTGATATCAATTAAGTTTTTTATCACAAATGTGAGCCATTGTGCATTACTGACCTTACCATAACTCCTTAAACAGGACACAACATGATGGCAGAATTTTTTTCCAAGAACAGTCAAAATGGTAAACTAAAAGAATGTTATGTTCACCTTTATTCAATTATAATTTAGATTCAACTACATGTATACATGGAGGAGAGCAATGTTTATCTGAACACAAACTGCATTTACCTTCAGGGAACCCAATAAATGCCTACATACAGTTTATATATACATGTACATATTAAAGTATATGTTGGCAAATACTCGAGAACTCGGCAGCAGCAGCTGGGGATGATTTAGCTTAGGATTATAATCCTTGAAACAATTAAATTAAAACGTCATAATTGTGTTTGCATTTTCATGATTATTGAGTAAATATTTATTAAAATATGATTTTTCTATTGTTGTTTTCATTTTATATACATTGTATTTAGCAAAACAAAATTCTCTTTAATACTTAAATAGGAGAAAAGTAATCTAGGAAAATGTTGAAATTGTGAGTACTTTGTGTGTAAGCACTTACTATTTTCAACTGGTGTGCTCTTTTTGATAAATTCAGGCAGATTTTCTGGGTTGAAATCACATCTTTTCTTGTGAGAATTTAAACTCTGAAGCTGTCCAACGAACTCACATCCCAACCTACGAAAAGGACAAGCTACCTACAGGATAAAAAGAACAATAAAATGACAGATCAATTGATTGGACAGATCAAGATAACTTGACTGCAAATCTGTTAAGTTTATTACAAATACCATCCAAATAAACAGATGATCAAAATTTCACACTTATACATTGTTAAATCTGTGATTCTGACATTGTGTTTAAAGTATTCCAGGAACATTTCAACTTGCAGTAGAAAGGATCAAGGTTCCGGTTGAGTACATTTGACCTTTCAAATAGCAAGACTAAAATAACATATTAGCTTACAGTTATTGACATGACAGAGGAACATGTCAATATGCTGTGACATACCATTTGATCACCTATGATGTTCTCTAAAATGAAGTCATGATGAAGATGTCCAATATGTAGAGTTTTTCTGTGAAATGAAGACAAACAAAATTGAACTGTTAAATACAATACATCCAAATGTTAAATGCAAAGCTAAATTAACTCTGAGTATTGTTCTTTCTTAGATCAACCTACATCATGGTCTTAGCTTTGTGAAATCATTTATTCTGAAATTAGCATCTGGACAAAAAATTGTAAATAGAAGGAAAGACACATGCATGGACAAATGACCACCATGATTGCAGACTGTTTGCCTAAACATTAAAATAAAATTATGTATTCAAACTTTTTATTGAATTTGAACATTTTAAATGGTTTTTTTATCATTTTTTTCAAGTTCTTAAAATTCAGTAAGTTTCAGTGTAAATATCTCTGCTTTAACCAAATATTGACATTTGACTATGTATATTGTCACACATTTCATTAATACTGGCCCCGTCCACCCCTAGTAGAATCATTTGTTGAAACATATCCACCTTACCTGTCCTCTGGGCATGTTTTGCTGTTTTTTAGCCAAGGTAGGATACACTGCAATTAAATTATCAATACAGAACAATACAGAATAATCAACAACTAGCTAGTATTTTTTTTATATTTTTTTTGTTTATTTTCAAAGTATTTTTCACATTGCAATAACATATACATTTCATTATACATAATGAATTCCATTTTCACACATACTTTCATACTAATTAATATTGCTCTTTTTGTGAGTGGTATTTTATCTTTTTGTAATGCTATATAAGAAAGGTAGGAAAATCAGATAAGAGAAACAAGAAAACAAAGCATAGTGGAAATAAAGACAGAAAGAAAGACAGAAAGATAGACAGACAAGAGGAGAAGTACCAGTATTAAACAAACCAATTGTATGTTTCAATTTTGTCTCTTTTTCTTTTCTCGAATGAATTTAAATAAGATCAAACATACATTTTGTATAAACATATAATCGGCAAAATGTAGGTCTAGGAAATATCAATAAGCCTTTTCCACTTGTTCCACTCATTCTGGAAGTTAATGAGATATATTTCGTCTTTACTATTTGCAATATATTTTTGAATACTGTAATGTTCTTTAATTGAATTTTTAATTCCTTGTATAGATAAAGGCACTTTAAGACATCTTGCCTTGTATATATCCTGTTTTATTATTAAAATAATACTATTGTCAATTTTATTAAGTCCATTATAGTTATAAAAACCAAAAAGAAATGTTTGTTTATTATAATCAAATGGAATAATCAATGCATCTAATAAGAACTCAAAATTTTGTAAAAGATTTTGTACTTTGTCACATTCCCATAATACATGCTCTATTGTCTCTATTTCTAGTTTACACAGTTCAAAGTAAGGGCTATCTACTATTCCTGCCTTAAACAAATATGCATTAGTTGGCAAAATATGCTGATTAATTCTGTACTGGAACCACTGTAACTTGGTATTTTTCATAATTTTAAATGGCATTTTATAAAAAAAAAAATCCAAACTTCATCATCAAATTGAAATATATCACCCCATTTTTTTTAACCTGTTGAAATAGTATCATTTTTACAAAACAAGCTTTAAAAATCTCAAATCCCCTTTTTATTTTTCAAAAACACTTCTATATCAATTGGTATAAATGGATAGTTAACCTCTACATTTGACCTATCTTCTTGTATTATATACTCTCTAATGGCAGTAATTACACCCTGGTATGGTAAAAAGTTTGTATTAATATCATAAATCTGTTTGAATTCTTGAAATGTGTAAAAAGCATAGATATTTCTGTCTCTGATTAGATCATCAATTACAATTATTCCTTTATTGTACCATACCAACTAGCTAGTATTAACAGTCCAAAGTTTTGTTACCATATATATAACTCACAATAACACAAAAACTAGAACACTGACAGGTCAGTAAGGGCCCCGTCTTGTGGCAATATGTCCCCCATAATCATCAAGAAGCAATCTGCCCATATAGCTGAGCTTGACATTTGACATTTGGACTTCAAAAAGAATCGCAAGGAAGCAAAATATACATTTTAAATGTACTATGATGTGAGTCTTGTTTCCTTCCACCTCCATATTTGCTGGTCTAACAGATATGTAAATACCAGTGCATTTCTCATTTGTTAGCTTGATTTGTTTTATTTAACCTTATATACCTCCTCCATCAAGAGCCAGGGTCAAAGTCAGAGATCCACTTTGTCTTTGACCTTTGGACCCAAATGACCTTGACAATTAACCCAGTGACCCTGATCTTTGGTCAGTTGACATATTCTTTAATTCCGACCAACTTTGCTTCTTAATATCATAACAAAATGTGAAAAATTCAAAACTTGACCTTGACCCTTTAGACCCCGTAACCTCGACCTAAGGTCAGTTGACTCTGTGTTAAGTTCTGAACAACATTGCTTCATAATGTCATGAAAAATGTTCATCAGGGAAAAGGTACAAAATTAACCTTCACCTTTGACCCAGTGACCTTGACCTTTGATCAATTGAATCCATGTTTAATTCTGAGCAACACTGCTTCAAAGTGTCATAGCGAAGTGTTAACCAATGAGAAGATACAAAATTTAACCTTGACCTTTGACCCAATAACCTTGACCTTTGGTCAGTTGACTCCTTGTTAAATTCTGATCAACTTTTCTTCATCATGTCAAAACAAAATGTTCATCAGTGAAAAGATGCAAAGTTTGACCTTGATCTTTGAATCTAATGACCTTGACCTTTGACCAAGAGTTTTTACCTCAGTTTGTCTCTTTGTTTAATTCAGAACAACTTTGCTTCATAATGTCATAGCAAAATGTTCACCAGTAAAAAGCTACAAAATTTGACCTTGACCCCTGACCAGATGACCTTGACCTTTGGTGAGTTGACTCCTTGTTTAATTCTGATCAACTTTGATTCATTCTGTCATAACAAAATGTTCATCAGTGAAAAGATGCAAAATTTGACCTTGACCTTTGAATCTAATGACCTTGAACTTTGACCTAGAGTTTTTACCTCAGTGTGTCTCTTTGTTTAATTCTGAACAACTTTGCTTCATAATGTCATAGCGAAACGTTCACCAGTAAAAAGCTACAAATTTGACCTTGACCCCTGGCCCGATGACCTTGACCTTTGGTCAGTTGACTCCTTGTTTAATTCTGATCAACTTTGCTTCATAATGTCATAACAAAATGTTCATCAGTGAAAATATGTAAAATTTGACCTTGACATTTGAACCTAATGACCTTGACTTTTTACCTCAATGTGTATTTTTGTGAACTGAACATCTTGACCAAGTTTCATGTACATCTGTCAATAAATACCAAAGTTATCAGCTTGGAACAAAATTTGTGGACAGACAGACAGACAGACAGACATTGATTACTATAGGGCACCCGTATCTCCGATACGGGGCCCTAATTACAAGTTTTGACCCGTTTATATGACAAACCTCTACACATTTTAAGAATCAAAATCAATTTTAGACTCGTATATATGTATACCCCCATATAGAAGTAAACTGAAACACTGAATAATTGGTGCTTCAATAACATGTTTCAAAAAAACAAAAAAATCCAAAACATTGGTCATATTTACCTTTTTACAGAAGCTGTGACCACAAGGTGCCCTCTGAGGGTCGGAAAAAACATCCTGGCAGATGGAGCAGTACAGATGAGTACTAACTGAATCTGGATTCAGGAAATACCTGTAATGTGACCACAAAGAGACACTGAATAGTTACATGTAATTGACCAGATGCAATTGTAATTGATTAAAATCATCTGTTACATGGCTCCGCCTGAACAGATGTTCAGGTGTAGTACGAAGTTAATGAAGCCATGTAACAGATGATTTTAATCAGATTGCTGATAACAATTCTTTTCAGACATGAATTAACAAAGCCAAGTTCAATTACCCAATTCCTACATACACTTACAGATAATGTAAACACACATACACTTACAACATAGGGCTGAACATAGATGACATGCTTTATATATAACTGTATCACATACATGTGTTTATTAGTATAATATGAAGTTAAATGTAATTGCCATGATCAATTGGCCAGGATTCATGAATACCTCTCTTCTTCAGCCTCCATGCACACTGGTTCGGGGTGTTTTCTTTTCCATGACATACTCATAATAGAAGTTGATAGCAGCTGATCATGTCTCTTCTAATGACAGAATTATCTGGACCCAGTTCTACAAAGTGTAATGACTATAAGTCACGTTCAAGTGAAAAATATATTAATTAAATAGCCCAGGTAAAAACATTACTAGTGTATTTATACAAGAGGCCCAAGAGGGCCTGTATCGCTCACCTGAATATTTAAGTAGTCATAGCAAAATATTCTCATTAAATATTATATTGCATTAAAAATATTTCCCTCACAAACTTTGTTGGCTCCATCTGTTGAAACTACCAGCAAAATATTATTACAAGATTCTATGCTTTTTGATTCTTCAGAAGTTGCTTGACATATTTTTCCCTGTGACCTTGTAAGTAGGTCAATGTCATTTTCCTTCTCAAATTGGTAAGCTCTATTCCAAAAGCTACCAGCCAAATCTTATGAATCCATTCCTTTTAGTTCTTAAGAACAAATCCATTAAAATGTTGACCTCTGTGACCTTGAAAGTAGGTCAAGGTCACTTTCATTCGCAAACTTTGTTGGGCTCTTTCCCAGGAAATAACCAGCCGAATATTAAGGTTCTATAACTTCCAGTTCTTCAGAAGAAGTCATTTGAAGTGTTTGACATATCTGCCTCATGTGACCTTAAAAGTAGGTCAAGGTCATTTCATTCTCAAACTTTGTTGGGCTCTATCCCAGGAAGCCACTAGCCAAATATAAAGATTCTATACCTTTAAGTTCTTCAGAAGAAGTCATTTGAGGTGACTCCCTACGGGCAGGTGAGCTCAAAATGTGGTTTACTCCTGTTGGTTATCATATCACAGGAGAATGATTTATGTATTTTGTTTTCACTTTCATCATTACACAATACACGTGGATGAAAATAATGTTCATCGTATTTTAAGGATCCCATACCAATGCCAAAAGCTGTAACAATAAAAATCTGGTATTACTATATATTTTTCCAGTTTCCATCCTGGCAGTCAGATTCCCAATTTTGTATATAAAGATCATAGGGAAAAATGGATAGAATAGCTTCTAGATTAGTTCATGCTTTCAGTATGCATCAGTGTTAAAATTTAAAGATGCCAAGTTTTCTACAACAAACTCTAACTATCTGTATGTATTTTGAAATTAGGGAGAATGTAATAATTGTAAAACAAAATAAACTATGTCCTAAATCTTACCGGAAGACACAACATATATTATGCTTCGATAGCGCAAAATTATTCAATTTTGTGCAAAAATGTATTTCATCACACGTTATCATCCCCCAGGTTAGTCCGAATTATTCTGACATTTTATCGACTTTATCATCAAAACTCCGGCCCTCTATAATATGCGGGAAATAAGCGACCCGCACCCGGGTCGCACTTCAAACTGATATTTTAGAAACAAATTGTCACTTTCACACACATGTCGCACATGGATCGAAAGATCTATTCTTTATGCATAAGATGAACCTAAATTACATGCCTCAAACAACCAATACAATCAATAAAAACATATTTTTTTAAACTTATTCTGTTTTACTCTAGTTTTTTGTATAGCCCCGCCTTCAAATGCCACGTGACTAAAATCTCGCCGGCCTACGTCATAACGTTAGGAAATACCTTCGGTAATGCGAGATCTCGTCAAGTCATGTGACATAGCTCATGCCCTAATTTCCATTAAAAACATGGGTTGGTATAGAAAACGTTGGAAAATACTTTTCGTAATGATCTTTGAAACATGTTATTGATACCACCTAGTGCATACAGAATAGATCTTTTGATCCATGTGTGACATGTGTGTGAAAGTGACGATTTGTTTCTAAAATATCAGTTTGAAGTGCGACGCAGATGTGGGTCGCTTATTTCCGGCATATTATAGAGGGCCGGAGTTCTGACGTAAATCGACGACAGACCGATATAAAACAAGTCGATAAAACATCAGAATAATTAGGACTACCCCCAGGTATATGCTATGCCTTATATTTCTCCCTTTCATCTTTTTAATATGTACTTTGGGAATCTGACTGCCATGTTGGAAACTGGAAAAATATAGTAATATCAGATTTTTATTTCAATGTTTGGTAGTGTCAACTTTTGGCAGTGGTATGAGATCCTTAACGTCCAAAATCTTTTTTGAAACGAAAATAATACTTTGGAAGTTTGCGAGATATTTTTAACTAATGATAAAGAGGAATTGAAATAAGCAAAATATAAGCAGAGACATATATATTACATATATACGTCTCTGATATAAGCATCAGGCTTGAACAGTGTTCTCCATATAAAAAAATAGNTCTGTTTTACTCTAGTTTTTTGTATAGCCCCGCCTTCAAATGCCACGTGACTAAAATCTCGCCGGCCTACGTCATAACGTTAGGAAATACCTTCGGTAATGCGAGATCTCGTCAAGTCATGTGACATAGCTCATGCCCTAATTTCCATTAAAAACATGGGTTGGTATAGAAAACGTTGGAAAATACTTTTCGTAATGATCTTTGAAACATGTTATTGATACCACCTAGTGCATACAGAATAGATCTTTTGATCCATGTGCGACATGTGTGTGAAAGTGACGATTTGTTTCTAAAATATCAGTTTGAAGTGCGACCCGGATGTGGGTCGCTTATTTCCGGCATATTATAGAGGGCCGGAGTTCTGACGTAAATCGACGACAGACCGATATAAAACAAGTCGATAAAACATCAGAATAATTAGGACTACCCCCAGGTATATGCTATGCCTTATATTTCTCCCTTTCATCTTTTTAATATGTACTTTGGGAATCTGACTGCCATGTTGGAAACTGGAAAAATATAGTAATATCAGATTTTTATTTCAATGTTTGGTAGTGTCAACTTTTGGCAGTGGTATGAGATCCTTAACGTCCAAAATCTTTTTTGAAACGAAAATAATACTTTGGAAGTTTGCGAGATATTTTTAACTAATGATAAAGAGGAATTGAAATAAGCAAAATATAAGCAGAGACATATATATTACATATATACGTCTCTGATATAAGCATCAGGCTTGAACAGTGTTCTCCATATAAAAAAATAGCAGGGCTAGATCAGGTTTCGAACCCCGGACCGTATATATATAGTCCTACTGAGCTACCTGGACAACAGAAGTGCCTCTACCAAACTTTGCTGCAGTTATACAAATACTGTAACCACAGAGGAATTAGTTTAAAATAATGTATCTAGTGTTCTGTCTGCAGTGGGACAACGATTCTAATACACTTTAAAACAGGTGCAAAGTTTGACATGTACATCTTTTTCAAAACCAAGACTCCGAGCAAGTCGGAACTCATTTTGAGGCTTCAAAATGATACTTGGAACTTGTATTTGCTAAAAACCACGGGATTACAGTAGAGTCTAAGAAAAAGACCGGGCTAAAACTGATAATCTTGAATCCTGTCATTACAGCTTTTACGATCATTTTTAGCCAGCTAAGGTGTTTTGATCGAAACCAAATAATTGTGATTTATATCACCACAAAGTATTTAAATTGTACAACTCACAGTTCAAGACCCATCTCCACTGTCATGTTGAAATGTAGCGGGCTGTGAATAAACTACCTCCGTACGCGAAGAGGCATGTATGAAGGGACATCACTCTGACAAAAGTATTACTACATGTACCATCCTTACTTGAATCGGTAGTGAGCGGGGCTGGAAAATCAAAGCTGGCTTATAATTACCAGTAAGGTAGTATTTCCCCCTCGGTTGTGGGTTGGAACTTCTACCAGCAAGAAATTTATTATGGAATCACCAGGGAATTTTTAAACTTTTGGGAATAAAACACAATTTTCAAAAAACAAATATATTTGAAGAGAAATACAATGAAAAATTTAAATCAGTCAAAAATTCATTGAAATATTGGTCTTTCCGAAATCTCTCATACATAGGAAGAGTAACTGTTATAAGAACTCTAACATTACCTATCCTCATCCAGACATTAACTGTTCTTCCAGACCAACCTTCATATATCATAATAGAATTGCAAAAATGTTTTTTCATTTTTTTGTGGGATGGAAAGCCTGACAAAATCAAGAGAAATGTAATGTATAGTGATTATCATAATGAGAGACTACGTCTCCCACATGTTTTAACATTTTGTCATGCACTCAAGATGTAATGGATTAATATTAACCCCTCAAATCAGGCAGCATGGAAAACACTATTATTAGACAAACTAGAGTGTTTTGGAGGCGACAAAATTTTCAAAATGACAAAAGACGGATCAACGTTATTAGCCAAAAAGTTTAATACCTTTTGGATGGAAGTGTTTACGGCTTGGGCCTCTATGCAAGAAAATGTATCCCCCACAACCCCAGAGAAGGTGGTCTCGCAACCAATTTGGTATAATTATATAATTAAAAGTGGCAATAATTGCATTCTTTATGAAAACTGGTGTAAAAAAGATGTATTTTTTATTTCTGATTTATTAGAAAATAATCAATTCATGTCTTGTGATATTTTTTCTCAAAAGTATAATATAAATGTAAATTTTATAGATTACTATGGAGTTATTAATGCCATACCAAGAAATTGGAAAGACATTTTGCAGAATATAAATGGTGACATACCTTATATAACTTATAAATCAATAATCTATTTTAATACACATGATAAAGTTACTAATTATTTCTATCATATTCTTATCCAAACTATCTCTGAAAAACCGGTGAATAGTCAAAGTAAATGGCAAGAAGATCTCCATAGTAATATTAGTGAAGAAAATTGGGAATCTTTTAACTCGATTCCAAGGGCCATAACTGCTGACACAAAACTTATTAACTTTCAGTATAAAATCATACACAGGATCATCTACACCAACACAAAATTAATGAGATGCAAATTAGCTGAAACTGAAAGATGCACCTTTTGTACAAATGAGAGAGAAACTATTATGCATCGTTTTTGGGAATGCACTATAATAAAAACTTTTTGGTTATGGCTGATAGATACGCTAGAAAATAAGTACCAAATTACCTTGCCCAGACACCCAACAACTTTTATCTTTGGTGTAATAGAAAAAGAACACGGAGACAAGATTAATTTTGTATTGCTCATTATGAGATACTATATGTATTCATGTAAGTTAAAAAAAAACACAGCTCCTACCATTCTGGAAGGAAAAACATACCTTAAGTTTTATAATAAAATAGAAGATATGGGTCTGTATGCCTATCACAACAAAAAGCAAGAAAAAACCCAAATGCAAATGGATTTTTATCAATCATTTACTTACTTAACTGAGCTGACATTGTTAATATATTTTGGGTAAAGTCTTTAGAGCCATATATTCCTGTCGGATAACTTCACATCTAAATGTATTCAAAATAGAAATGATCCGTTTTACTTACAGATGTCATGGTACTCTGTACTTGTCTTTAAAAAACGTGAAATATCCGATGGAAATATAATCTAATAAATATAAACTTTGTACATGCATGAGTAAACAGTTATATATATATATACCGATTCTGATGGATATATAGTTACAGAATGAAAATAGTTATATGAAACAATTGTAATGTGCATGTAACTGGAGTAAAATGTGATTATGAAAAAAAGTTGAATGAAAATTAAAATACTTAAAGTATTTCCCCCTCATATTCCTAAGCTGTAACACAAGGATGCATTCTACTGGAGTACTGCCCTTTGGGCTATTCAAATGTAGTAAAATTGTATTTAACTGTTATATCTCGCTTGATACTTTATTCATTTTTTATTTTGTTTTAAACTATCATAGAACAGATAATTTTATATTATGTAACATATTATCAACTATTTTAATATGGATTAATAGCCTACGAAATACAAAAATGTAAACATGACAATAATGTGTTGGATTTCATATAAAGTAATTATTCTGTTTAAAATAATTCCGCTACAGAACTTATTCTTTTTGATTGGAGAACACTCAAAATAGGATTGTTTTAGTACTGTGTGTTGGCTTTTTAATATCATAATTTCAAATCACTCAACTGGTTTGATTTTCCGCAATATACAGCTAGTGTATTTGGCTGCAAGTAATGCATTATACTTGCAAATATGTATTACCAATAATAATTCTTTAAATTAGTTATCATATAATATGTTATATCACGGACTTAGATAACAATTCCGTGGTTATATGCATAATGAAAACAGAAACAAGTTCCGTGCGAATATAGCATCGATTTCGTCAATCTCTTCTCAGAGTTCCCTACTACTGGCTTTATACTAATCTGCAACTACTTACAATTTACCCCCTAAATAATGCTTTAATATACATGTAAAGCTCGTAATCCACCACGGAGCTTCCCTTTGAAAATTCCGGTGAAGGACGGTAGGGGATGGGGGTTGGCCGGTGCATGCCAGCTGACATTCTGGCCTAGGATCGCTTACCACAGACACCTAGACACTCGTGCTCTCGCTTATTTCGAACATCTTTCTCATCTACACCCTAACAAGTTTTGTGCTACCCTGCCACTGTGACATAAGGCAAAGTCAAATGACCATACGTAGGCCTGCCAACATTGGCGGAGATCTCCCCACCAGCTTATATACTTTCCTTCATCATCGGTCACGCAGTTTATCATACTCTGCTATCTCATTCGTTATGTTTAATCAAATAAAACAAATACACATTTACCGCAAATCAAAAGAGAAACCAAATGGTTTGAAAAATAACACATTTAATCAAATATTCTGGCCAATCTAATTTTCCACAAAACATGTTTTGAAAATCGCTTAATCTGTAGTTTTATTACTAACTTCTGGGGGAAATTGACGGTTTTTTACAGGATTTCAAACCTAGTTATTTGTTTTTTGTATCTTTTATTGATTGAAATTGCACAATGACTCGCAGTACAGTTTTTTACGTTGATCCCAAGGCCGTGTCAGGAAATAGATAATTTCTTTATCATAATATATAAGACTTATCTCCCTTGGACCACTGATTCTGCATCGGTGGGTGGTGGTTTTTTTTGTAGGTGTTAACGAGACTATCCCTAACATTCCTGAAAAGAAAACCATACCAAGCAGATTTTTTAAAGAATATATATATATTTATTAAGATGAAACAACAAAAAAGTAAACAAAAGGGATGTGAGTGTTGTTAAACTTAAATGGGTGTCACTATGCCTCACATTAATCCCTACAGTTAGAAAATCCCGAACAAACCATCAGTTTTCGTATCAAATTCCCCACTCAAAAACCCAGACCAAAAAAGGCATCATTCTTCCCTCGAATTATACCAGAGTGGAATAAACTCCCACCTGACATTATTTCGAACCCCACAACGGAATTATTCAAATCAGCTCTCTACCGTCACTTTTCAAACGCAAATTAGACCATCTCGTATCTTTTAAAAACAATCTCTTTCCATGTTTCATTCCTCGTCTGACATTTTATCTTCAAATTGTTGAAGTTGGTTAGTACCATTTAGAAGTAGAAGTTATCAACTGAGCTACCCGATCAACGGTAACGATTACCCTGTATTAAAATCTACAGTGGAATTCCTTAGTGTTTTGCCTGTAGTGGGACCGTGATTACTAATGCATGAGTACAGTACTGTATAAATCATTGAACACTGGATTAGATCAGGCCACGGACTTAGAATCCAATTACGTGATCAGGCCAAAATATAATAATTCATAATCAAAAGTGTACACGAAGTACTGATTGAAAGCTTTTGGAACTGATACGTTTCATGCTTTGATTCTGGCTAGTTATAGAAACATTTAACTCAATAACAGATACGTCAGCCATAACATTCGTTAACGCCATCGACTAAATCCAAAGCATTGCTTCCCTTGGAGGTTTCTTATGAGATTTACGTGTTATTTAAATGGTAGAACACGGGCACTTGAAAAGTACATCATAACCAATATTGAAAAGCATTTAAACATAAAAGCTATTTAAATAATCTGGAATGCCAATCTGTCCCTGCGTCCAACACGTGCAGGTGTGCTAGCTCTGTAAAACTAATGGATCATCACACTTGCTTATCAGTTCAAGTTAAATACAGTTGGAGGTAATTAAAATTATTCTTAAACCCTACACGTATTTAAACGAGTTTTATAAGTTTTAATGTACCACAAAAGTGCAACTCAGAGGGTTGCGCATTTGTTTAATGACTTCAAATATTAGTGTCCGTTCGTATGTATATACTGAAATCTAACGAAACACATTTTCTTTAAAATAAATCACTGAGCGAGTTGCTTTCCTTTGTACAGTGAAATGTTCCAATATACAGTATTCAATAGAAGAAATTAAAGAAACCGACATTTTTTTTCTCTCTGCGACTTAACTACCGTACAGTCTTATACCAATATTAGCAGATTTAAACACGACAGCTAGCGCAGAAACTGGTATATTTTACATATACATAATACTGTAGGTTGGTCCCGAAGTAAAAAGTAAAATATCTACAAATGATGTCCAGAAAGGCTTACGATGAAATGTCCACATCTGAGTCGTTTATTTATATCAATTAGAACAACGAACTTAAGTATCCGATGACCTCGACCACTGGCAATTCAGGGACAACTATTGGAACTAACTAGTCTGGATGTACTATAGTTTTCTGGGTAGGCAG